CTGAGAATGTCCATATTTTTCTTCATAGAGGAAGGAGAGATTTGCAGGGTAAAGTATTCTTGGTTGGCATTTGCTGTTTTGAAGTTTGCTGAATATGTTACTCCATTCTCTTCTTGCCTGTATTGTTTCTTTGGAGAAGTTTGAAGTTAACCTGATTGGTTTTCCCTTATAAGTTATCTGTTTCTTCCCCCTTGCCAGTTTCATTATTTTTTCCTTGTCTTGGACTCTTGCAAGCTTTACTATTAGGTGTCTTGCTGTAGTTTTCTTTTCATGATGGTAATTGGGAGTTCTTCTTGCTTCTTGTATGTCTATATTCATCTCCTTTTTCATGCTTGGGAAGTTTTCTTCCATTATCTCCTTGAATAATTTCTCAGTTCTTTTGTCTCTCTCCTCACCTTCTGGAATGCCTATAACTCTTACATTACCTCTCTTCATGGAGTCTGATAATTGTCTAAAAGTTTCCTCATACTGCCTCATTTGCGCTTCTCTCTCCTTTTCTCTTTTGGCTTTTTATATTTCTGTATCTTCGATAGTACTAATCCATTCTTCCATTTCATCGATTCTGGATTCTGTTTCCATTGCTTTTCCCAGAGTTCTTTATCTCCTCTAGTAATCTTTTTATTTCCTGTGTTTCTTTTCCTTCCTTTCTTAAGGTCTCAATTTCATTCTTCAGTTCAGTGATTATTTGTCTCAGATCATTTTTTTTCCTTTTTGTTTTCTTTCTGCTTTTTAATCAGGATGATTATTAATTCTCTATCTGATAGGTTGAGAAGTTTTTCCATGTCATTGTTGAGCTCTGATGAATGTATTTCTTGTTGTGGAATGTCCTCCTGCAGGCTTGCTTTGTTATTTATATTTTTTCTTCTCCCTGTTGTTTGTTTTCTAATTAGTTCTATGTGTTGGGACATTGTGCCAGTGGTGTTGGCAGGCATCTCTTTGGAGTGCTGCTTTAGGGGTATATTTACTCAGTTCTAACAGGGAATCAGCTAGTGGTGATTTTGTTCTGGTCACGATGTGGCACCAGAGACCCGTACTTGCTGACCTATGCTTTTTCCCAGTGGTTCTCTGAGTAAGGGAGGGGGGACGGAGGGTAGCATCTCAACACGGGGGCTCTTATTCAAGCTGGGTGCTGTGTCTGCCCAGTGTTCACCTGGTGCTGTGCCTGCAGCCATATGGATCCTGTACCCTGAATTCTGCACTCTAGGTCTCAGTTCCAGGGCTATCAGATCCAAAATGCTGGCTATCACCCTGTGCTGTGCCTGCTGCTATGGAGCGTCCCATACCCAGTATCCTGTGCTTGGCTCTCAGTTCCAACACGGGTCTTGCTCCACACCTTATTTCCCTTCTTACCCCTGTTTGCATGGCCCACCCTCTCTCAGAGCTGAGGGTGTTTTGGGGACCCCTGGTTTCCAACTAATGGATGTTGGTGATTTTTTCTGGTTGCTAGGTGGCGCCAGAGATCTTTCCTAGTGTCCTTCCAGAACTGATTTTACCCCTTATGGGTCCAGGAAAACAGTGTGGGAGTGGGGTGGAGTACCTCAACAGCATGGGGGTGCTGTGTCTGCCCTATGCCCCACAGTCGTGGGGATCCCACACCCCAAATTTCGTGCCCCGGGTCTAAGTTTCAAAGCCCTCAGATCCAGGACTTGGGCTGTAGCCCAGTTCAGTGTCCGCAGAAATGTCGCCTTTTGCACCCTGCTCCTGTGTCCAGGCACCTGGTTTCTGATTACTCAGTGAGGGAAATTCACCTCAATGAGGACTCCCGGGCCTCTACCCACAAGCCTAGGTCGCAGGCTTGGGAACCTGGGCAGCCATGATCTGCATATGCTTATGGAAAGCACTGCTTTTCTGCATAAGCTTACTGGGTGGCCTTGGGCTATTTGTAGGTCTGCTGGGAGTCTTTATTTTTCTCTAATGGTGCCTGGAGCTGTTCCCTCACCTCAGCAGCAATTCCTGCCTAGTTCTCCACAGTTCCAGGTCACAGGGTGTGGTGCCTGAAGTATTTCCTTTCCACTCACAGTCCTGCTTGATGCATAGTTTTTTCCTTTGTTTTTGTTGGTGGTTTTAGTTTTTTTTTTTTTTTTCCCTCCTTTTGTATATAGGGGAACCTCCCCCTTTCCTGGGGACCACCCTGTTGCACTTTCTGTTGGTCGGAGAGTGCCGACTTGAGGGTTGGGGAGGGTAGCAGGGTTCTGAGCTTTCCTCCCTTCTAGTTCTTTTTTATAGCAACTTTCTTTGGGCAGTTTGCCAGAGTAGCCCTTTGTATTCTGTGTCCCAGTTCTCACAGGGACCTGCCACTTTTCCTCCCTATTAACTTTTTTTTGGGGGGGGAGGTCTTACTTGCAGCATTTCCTCACCGCCATGTTGATCCCTCCACTTTTTCAGGTATGTCTTTACCACAACTTTTTTGCCAGCTGAAAATATCTTATGCCGGTTGGTAATCTATTGTGCCATCAAAAATGTATTTATTTTGACATTCTGGGAAGATAGAAACAGCAAAAAAGGATTGGCCAATGTAAAGGATTGTTGCCATCGAAATTTCTGTGTCCAACAGAAATCACACATAGGGGGGTCTGAAGAGACTAATGCAGTCATGGGCCTGTGCATTCACTCCTCAAATGAGTATTTGAAGCCCCTTTGGGTAAAAGTCCCACAGTTAGAAAAAATACAAAGAAAAAACATCCAGTAATCAGTGTAGAAATAGTACAGACACATAATGAATTTCTAGGTAGAAGAGAAGTGATCTCAGAAAGTACAAGATTGTACTTAGTACTTCTTTTTTTTAAAGGTTTTTTTTAAGTTTATTTATGCATACAAGAACTGGGGTACAGGCTAGAGGTGTGGGGGGTGGTGAGTGGTGAGTGAACTCACCAAGACAGAGTAGGTAACAGAAGAGGCAGATAGGCTGAAATACAGTGCTGAGAGGAGCAGCAGGTGAGGCAGGAGAGGTCTGCTACACTATGTGGGTAGCTCCTTGGCTGGCTGGGAATTGAACTTATGCTGCAGAGGCTGCGGACAGCCCCAAAGTGCTGTGCTCAACCCCTTGTGCCACCAGGGAGGCCCTGTACTTAGTACTTCACGAAAATAAATGGAAATTCAAGAACTACAAAACTTGAAAGGACAGCCTGACATACTACTCTGTCAAAAAGTTAAGACTGTGCTGATGGTACATGAGTGCATTGGCATTGGTGAAAGAAGTTCTATGGGAACTACACCTGGAGGGGGGGAAGCAAACATTGTTTAAAAATGAACAATGATGTAAAAAATATATAAATAAAAAGAAAATTTAAAAAAATGATTATGAAGGCAGAATGTAAGATGCAGAATAAAGTTCAATTAGGACATGATAGCATATCAGTAGGATATATTCACAAAATAAATGGGACTATAATTTAATGTTGGAAAATGAGCTAAAATTAAGGCAATCATGAAGAACAATATAAATTGAACCTAGTAAAGTAACCCTCAAAGAAGAAAACCAAAGAGTGAAAGGAAATAAATAGAACACATTCTAATTTGGGCACAAATTCCTGAAATTAAAAAAAAAATTATCATTTATTCAGAAAATAAGAGAGAGAGAAAGAGAGGGAGAGAGTGAATGAGAGAGAGAGAATGCACTTGGGAGAGGGAGAGGAGGGAGGAAGGAGGCATGGGTAAAAAAGATAGATATCTCAATCAAATTGTTTGGACTTATTTAGCTACTGATTCAAATACATAATATTTAATACCTCCAAATAATTGTAAGTTTGAAACACTGCTAATTTGTTTATATAAAGGAATTATAATTTATAGATGTGATCATAACATCCTAGTTATTATTTAATATTGATGAATGGAATTATGTGTCTGATATTTACTTGAAAGTAATAAAAGAGGAGGGCCTCCCCGATCGCGTATCGGTTGAGCGCTGGGTTGCGAAGCTGCCTGCTGCCTCTTCAGCACCAGTTGATCCCCTGGCCGCCCCGGCAAGGGTCCCACATGGCACGCGAACCTCTCCTGCCACCCGCTGCTACCCTCAGCAGTGTACTTTGTCAGTCTGCCTGCTTTGCTCTCCCCTCTGGCTCTGGTGAATTCTCTCACCCTCCCGTGTTTCTGACTGTACCCAGTGCTTGTATAAATAAATAAATAAATCTTTAAAAAAAAGAAAGTAATAAAAGAGGAGAAAGTGGATTAATTGGATAGATAAAACAGGATAGGCCATGAATTAATAATTGTTCAAGCTGTGTTACAATTCTTTATACTGGTTCATGGAATATTGTTTACTTGTTATATGTTTAAAATAACTCCAAAGAGCACCTGGACCCCTGTGTTTATAGCAGCACTTTTTACAATAGCTAAGCTTTGGAAACAACCCAAATGCCCAAAAATAGATGACTGGATCAAGAAGATATGGTACATATGCACCATGGAATATTACTCAGCATTCAAAAAAGATAAACACATGCAATTTGCAGCAACATGGATGGTGCTGGAAGGGATCATGTTCAGCAAAATAAGCCAAAAAGAAAAAGAAAAATGCCGGATGGTCTCACTCATAGCAGGAATCTAGAAAACTTAAATAAGGGACCAGGAAAAAGAATACAAGAAAGTGAAAATCAAAATCAACAAACAACTATGAACCAGAGACACTCTATAGGGGGTGGTGGGGTGGGGAAGGGAGGGATTGGGGTCAAAATAAGGGGGTTGCAATTGTATGGGGAATATAAAAATAAAATTTATAAAAAAATTTAAAAAATAAAATGACTCACAATACAAAATTTAAAATATATATATGGAATGGGGTGGACAGTTCAAACTAAGGTAAAATAAATGTTTTTCATCTATCTAAATAAATCCTAAGATTTCCAGAGTGCAGTTTATGGAAGTATTTACCTTGAGGCTGTTATAGTCTGTTGCAATTGTTTAGATGCATCTTCTATAATATTAAGTCCTTTTAACATCCACTCAATAGACTGCGTGGGTGTTATAAGAATTTCACAGTTTTTGTTTCTTGTTTTTAGGATTGTGGAAAAAGGGTATTACAGTGAACGAGATGCTGCTGATGCTGTTAAACAAATCCTGGAGGCAGTTGCTGTAAGTTTGAAGTGACAACAATGGAGTAAATACTGATAAATTCCTCTTTTTTTAGAGAATGATTTTTAAGAAGTATATAACTGTGAAAAGCCATTAAACTTAAAGCAAGATTGTATGAAATTTTTGCTGTAAAATATGTTGGATTCATTCATATTTTCTGTTGATTACTCAAATTTTGAAAGATGCAGTCATCCTGCAAAATGCCCTAAATTTGCTAACATAACTTCCATTCTATTCTATGATGCTATGTCAGACTCTGATGCCTTCATTGTTCCCTTTCTTTTTCTTTCCATTTATTTAGTTTGTTTCTTCTTTGAAGTTGTTGCTTAGTAGGGACATGATGGTAGATTATAATAAATATATACCTTGAAGCATGGATAGTAATTATTTTTTTCTTTGAGGACAAGAAATAAGTGAATTTGAAGGATAAAAATCTTAAATTATGTTTTAAAATGAAAAAAATATGCTATATTTTAAGCTAGAATATTGTTTTCTAAGTTAAATGATGGGTACAAATGCACACATACACATAATTTTGAGATGTATGTGTTTGGACTAAATTAATCAGGAAATATTTGCCTAGATAAAACAGACTCCACTGTTGAGAACATTCCTTTATATTTAATGACTAACAGTTGGGACAGTTTGGGGATTTTTTTGTTTAACATAAAGTCAGAACATAAAGCCAGAACAAATATTATCTAACAAACAGCTGGAATCCAAGAGGGGATATTTATTAGGATCAGTTAAGGAGCACCAATCTATAAAATAGGTGCATGGGCCTCCCTGGTGGTTCAGGGGTTAAAGTGTCAGTATTATCAAGCTATATGAGTTCAATCCCTGGCCAGGGAGCTGACCAACATGGCATAGCAGACCTCTCCTGTCTCACCTGCTGCTCCCCTCAGCAGTGTGTTTTGGCAGATCCACATGTTCTGCTCCCCACTCTGTCTGGTGAATTCTCTCACCCCCACACCTCTGGCCTGTAGCCCAGTTCTTGTATGCATAAATAAACAAATCTTTAAAAAAAATAAAATAAAATATGTGCAGAATTAAGAGATAATCCATTGTTCACTCAGTTGTCTAGAATCTTTATTCAAATCTTTAGAAATCGGCCATAATGATACAGGCATATGTCCTAGTAATTTTGTCCATAGTAAAAATAAGTGGGAAGAAGGAGGGACGGGAAGAATGGAAGGAGAGAGGGAGGGTAGTAGGGAGAACAAGTATAGAGGGAGGAGAGAAGAGAGGACTGAAAGAGAGAGGGAGGAAGGAGAGATGGAAGGAAAGGGAGGGAGGGATGAAGGGCCCTGATAACTAGCTTATACATTGAATAGGAAAAAAGAGGAAAAAAATAGACTTCATAGACTTTGCTGATAAAAAATATATCTGTGATTTAACCAAATCCATTATTGAGCAATCAATGCCAAGTTGAATTGGCTTTACAGCTCACTATTTCCAAATTATTCCTTCTTATAAAAGAGTTTTAGTCTTTTAGCTATGTTGGGGGATAAAATATTTGAAAAGAAGGAGGTATAAAAATGTAGCAAGTATGCCATGGAATTTTACTCTGAATACACAATTCATAGTGCAATATAGTGATCCAGTTTCATTTTATTGGCATGCAGCTGCACAATTTCCCCACTATCACATATTGAAGAGTTTTTCCTTGTTCCTGCATATATTGTTAGATCCTTTGTCATAGATTAACTGGAAAATAAGCCGGAAGGAGAAAGATAAATATTGGATGGTATAATTTTATGTGGAATATAGAGAGATCAAACAAAGGCTGAAGTTAAACTTTAAAACCAACCCTTGAAAAATCAGCATAGAACTGAGGCACCCAGAGGTAGAGGGGGAGGAGTTGGGTTAGAAACAGGGTGGGGAAAGAGCACAGTAGATTATGGTAGAGGACTGTGGGTGCATCAGTGGTGGCTATACTACAGTAGTACATTATGTGACTATGCATAAAGGAGGGAAATCTTGTACTTCCAAAATACTAACAAGGTTGTAAGCCATTGCACTTCATTAAAAACAAACAGGAACCACTGCTTACATTTAAATAAAAAATACACAATGCAGTTCCTGATCGTACAAATATTGTATATCAAATGCATCTTCCCAAGATAACCACTCCATTACAGATTTTTTTATTAAACAGTTTGTTTCCCAGTCTTGGTTTCCTAAGCTTGCCAATTTGGGAATGATTTTAATACATCAATTACTATCTCTCCTCATTCCCAACTTCCAAACTTTGATCCCTTCAAACATAATTCCATTATCCATCATGCTATGAATGTTTCTGAAAGCCTTTTTCAACATTTATAGTTGCTTACAATTTTTATTCTTAAATATATGGATAGAAACCTCTTTTGCAATCACCTCTTTTTTCATTTTGTCACTTCTGAATTCAATAATAGCAGTTTCATGCTTTCTATAACTACCCATCTTAAAGCTTCATTTCTGACTATAATATACCGTAGATTATCTGTTAAAGTAAACTTTCTCGCAATGACCCAATGTCCCGTTATTAAGTCAGGAGGGTAGCTGGTATGGCAGTTAAAACTACTTTAAGAGGGCCTCCCTGGTGGTGCAAGGGGTTAAAGTGCAGAACTCTGAAGCTATCCCCAGCCTCTGCTGCACCATGTTCGATCCCAGGCCAGCCGTGGATCTAACCCACATGGCGCAGAAGACCTCTCCTATATTGCCCGCTGCTACCCTCAGCAGTGTGTTTCAGTCAATCTGCCTGTTCTGCTCTCCACTCTGTCTCTGATGAATTCTCTCACTCCCTGCACCTCTGGGCCTGTACCCCAGTTCTTGTATGCATAAATAAATCTTAAAAAAAAAAAAACTACTTTAGGAATCAAGCAAGAGCTGATTTCACTTTCTATATATTCAAGCTTGGACATGTCACTAAAAACCTATGAAATTAAAAACTTTTCATGTAAAATAGGCATAATATTATATTGTATTAACAGGGTTGTTGGAAGAGACTAATAAATTAGAGTATAGAAGTCATACTTAAATTCAAAACAGAAGGTGTTGTATCAGGCAACACCACACTGTCAAAGAAAGGGGGGTCATGGAGCAACCTGTTAAGGCAGGATGCTGCCGAGAAGGCAAAGCCTGGCCTTTTTATTGATTGAATGATTTTACAGAGTCAATTATTCAGAGCAGGAGAACAAAGAGAGAAAAGTTAGAAGGAAGTGAATATATACTTAGGTTTTCTAGGCTTTTTGGGGAGATGAGTCTCAGGATATGGGTTAGTTTTATGGCCCATGTTTGAAGATCGAAATCAAGCATCTCGTGGTTCCCATATTAACAAGGTATTCCTCTGATCAGTCTCTGGGACACAGTTATATGTCAGTCTATAGCCATAGGCATCCCTGATAGTGCCTTGCGAGGCATACTCATTGTCCCAGGGAATTAAACATCCTGCTCTCGTTTAACTTGAGAGGAACCTTTGCAGGGTTGGTAGTTTGCATTCTTTAAATTTAGGTAATTGAGTGACTGGGCCAAATGGACTTTGAACTGAAAAGGCCAAACTGCATAGCCACAATGGTGGCTACAGCAGCCCTTTATGCCTAGCAGACCCACAAGAAGGAAACTGTGGTAAGCAACTTCAGATTCAATACAGTCATCTAAAGATATGCTAAAATCGACAATTGATAATAGTAGATGTCAATAAATATTTATTAAATATATAATTGAAAATTCATCAAAATAGAAATAGCCAATATTCTATATTTAAGGGCAGTGCCAAGGTAGGGGACAGGTAACTGTCCTCACCTATGAGCTAACAATTGCAATGCTGCTCAAGCTCAGGTTATGACTACACTGGGGTTTATTTAACAAAGAGGAGATTAAGGAAACAAAAGTGTCTCTAAGGCCACAAGTGGCCCGCTGTCTCACCCCATATAGCCCCAAACAAAGACTGCTCAGCAAAATAGTGCTTTCCTGTCAAAGAGGGCCTGGAAATGGTGCGCAGCAGTAAGCAGGGGGCCACAATTCCATTCGCCATGGCAGCTGGAGGTGCTCACAGGTGGGGCCAATGAGGTGCCATTGCAGCAGCCCACAGCAGCAGTCTGAAGACCAGGTTGCACAGCAACAGATGTCAGACCAGACAAAGCTGGACTCAACAGCACCAGAAAACAGTGCTGGATGATCAGAAGCCATGGATAACTCTCAAAGGTGGCCTAACAGAGTGCCTGTTCCCAGTCGGTATTTCCATTCACTACTGGTCACCAGAAGGCAGAGTCAGAGACACCAGTGATACAGCCCTTTGTGAGCTATTGGTATGAACAAATATATAGCAAACAATGACACTGGGTTGCAGCTGATGGTGCTACTTCCAACAGATGTCAGAGAAAGGGCAGGAGGAAGGTATAACAGCTGGCTCTCTGTGAAGGTATACAGAGGAGTAGTGGCAGGAAGGCACAGAGCAGATTTCTATGACCCAAGCAGATGGGTAAAGGAGAGTCCTGGAGCCTCAGTGGCTTTTTCAGGCTTTTATTGGGATTTTACCAAGTACATGGCAGGCAGGGGGGCAGGTGGTGGCTAGCAGTCTGCCCAGCCCAGGTGAGTCTTTACTCTTTGTGCGCTCTCTGGCATTCTCTCATGGTATCATTCTCTCTCTTCTGCTGGTTCTGTTCTGCTCTCTCGCTTGTTCTCCCTCTCCATTCTGTGATGCCTCCTTTATAAGCCCAGTTTCTTAGCCCAGTTGAACCCACCTATGCTGAACCACAGTTGAACCACACCCTACTCCAGGTGCCCACCATCAGGCCACCATCTTTGTCCTGTCAGGACAAAGACCTGATAGGGTCTTTGTCTTTTCAGGACCGCAGGGATCATCATCAATCCTAATGGTGGGAGGATAGAAAAGCCTGACAATGATTTACCCTACAAAAGGTCTTGAGTTCTGTGGAAGTCTCAGCATTTGTGGAGGTCTCAAAGTCTTCTGGAGGTGACCTGCTTGAAGCTTCTTCTTAGGAGACCACTGAATA